TCTATTTAAAAATTGAAAGTTTTTGGTAAAACTGATCTTTATTTATTTTCAACAGAAATTCAACCCAAAAAATAATAACATGTCTAAAAAAAAAAAAAAAAAAAATTAGTGGAAGAAAAGCGAAATAAGTTGATTTTGAAAGTCTTTTTTGACTTTTTTCTAAAACACATTTAGAAACGCTAGCCAGCAATAAAACGCCTTTCCATTGCTTGTACGTGTACCGGAATTCTTGGATCAGGCAATGGTAGATCATCGTATTCTAAATATTGTTCCAAATGATCATACGGAATGCTATGCATAAATGGTGGTTCGAAAAGACCTCATCTTTACTTAAATCATTCATATTCATATAATCTGTACAATTGAAGTTTATCAAAGTTTTTTGATAAACTCTAAGATGTGCTAGGTCGTACAGATTTCTTCCGTAGTGTAAAATTTTCTTGATTGCGATGTTTTGTGTCCCTTTTTTATCATCGAATAACATTGATAACAACAAAGTTTCGGAATGTGCGTAGTATGAATTGTCTTTAATAACATTATTCACAACTCCACATAGATTTGTATCCAAATATTGTGTCAAACGAATGAATTTATAAAATAATACACTACTGATGACCACCGAATTATAGTACTTGATGTTGAAGTATATTGGCACATACACTTTCATTATGTATGTTGCCAGAATTCTCAAATTTCTTGATGGATTTTCAGTTGACAAATACAACCGCAACAATCTATTCGCCTTGGTGACCCAACATGAATGTGCTATTGGTTCTGGTTTAATGTGAGACAAATCCGGAGGAACAAAACTATTGAGGTTGTTTTGGCCATTTTGTATAAGTACTTTGAATCGGTGGATAATTCAAATGGATCTAAATCAGGTGGCATGTTCTCTAGCATGATTATCTAAAATTTATTTACAAGCTGAAAAAAAAAAATGAATTATATGCAATTTTAACATTTATTAATGGAAAATATTGAGAAAAATTACAAATGATACATACCGTCAAATTTTCACACATTTCAATTTGTTTGCTTAATGTTCCGGTTATTGTTCGTTGTCTAGTGGTTGATGATCTGTACAAAGTGTCAAACAAACGACAAAATGGCAACTTGTTGAAGTGCAGAAGGCACACAAACCAATGTAGCGGTCTATTCAAATGCAATTTAAATCGACGCAAAATTTTATTTCTTACGCCAGTATTTATTGGCTCACCATCAAAGCGTTTGCTGATTAAAGCATCGAGAGCAATTTCTTTTTGACAAAGAATGCATTCAATGTCATCAATTTGTGTTTAGCATCTTCATTTTCGACTTTTGTGTAGCCTATCAATTGAGAACTCGGTTCCTTCAAAACAACTAAAAAGCATCATTTTTTCGCCCGTCGAATGAAAATGCTATCTAATTGGATGCATCGTACTGCTTAGAAAGCAATTCTTGTCTACATTTAGCTTTTTTTCAAAGCACTTTATTTTTATCCACGACGATAAGATTGCCATGTTCATCTTTTACGTCAATGTCTTGCATAAGAGATGTTGTGAGTGCTGATGCTATTCTATCAGACACACCAAATCAATCACACATCGCAGCAAAGTTTAAAGCATCGTATCTGGGAGTATACGGTCCTCATATCATTGGCAGAACACCTTGTGAATTTGAACTTGGCTCATCTGAATCAGTACTTGGTTCTTATACTAAATCCCTCTCTTCAACGTTTATTAATATTATTGTTGACGTTGGTGCTAGCTCTTTGAATTTCAGTATCGTCAACCTTCTGACTTTATTTTTATCTTGCATGAACTCTTTTAAATGATCTGAAAGCAATCCACATGAGCATAATGCTGCTTTCAAGTCACATTTTAATTTGCCCATGTAAAATAGTTTTTTTGTAGATTGCACGAACGTTCAGAATGTGGCGATTTTTTGATGTTTAGTTTCAATTTGACACTTCTCAATCAATGTACCCAATTTACTAACAACACTTTTTTTTGTTAGAATTTCAACATTAAGTTGATTCCAAATTTTAATCAATTTGTCTGTTACGTGCGGTTCGTATTATACGAAAACGTTTTGTTTTAGAGTTTAGCACGTTGGGCCAAGAAAACAAACATCTTAAAATATTCTGTTTTGTTGGCAGATTTAGTCCACTCAAATCACAAGATGCACAAAAAACAGCAACATTGTACAAAGGTAAATGCTTCAAATGACATTCGTTACTCGTTGATATTGTTGCGATCTGCGATATAGATAACAATGCATTTGTATTCATTGTATACTTTTGCTAAAAGAATTTTAGTAAAAGCATACAATGCAGATTTTTCTAGAATGAATGAGCAACGGAAACAGTATATAATTATGGCGAAATGTTGAGAATCACCGTTTTGATAGTGCTGAATTACTAAAGCTCGAAGGTCATTACTATGTTCTTTCTTTTTAGGTGCCATTTTAGTAAATTATCATTTAGTGAAGAAATCCGCAAGTATTTATATTATGATTAGTGGTTCTAGATATAGCATCGACACAATTCTATAACATTCTGAAAAAAACACGAAAGTTCTAGAACTTTTAGGAAGTATTATTTTCTTTTCTTTTCACTGGGCCAAAAATTTTTGTACATAATATTTGAACAAACTTATACTGTTTTCTCAATAAAACAAGAACGAAAGTAATTGAAAAGCTGAAACTTGTTGTATATATACTAGAGATAACAGACGACACAATGATACTAACACTTAGTAATTTTCTACTATAGTTCTTATATGCCAGCAAAAATAAAGTAGTTATGCAAAGGTTGGCCAATAATTTTTGGACTCACTGTATATATATATATATATATATATATATATATATATATATATATATATATATATATATATATATATATATATATATATATATATATATATATATGTATATATATATATCTATACATATATATATATATATATATATATATATATATATATATATATATATATATATATATATATATATATATATATATATATATATATATATATATATATACATACGAAAAAAAAAGTGAACAGTTTTGTTTATTTTGTATTCAATAAATTTTTGTCTTAACAAACTATAGAATTTTCACCCAACCATAAATTTTTTAATTTTTTTTTTTAAAAACATCAAATCTTCACAACTCCAAAAACCAAAATTTATTTTTACAAATCAAAAAAGGTTTTTCAAAATTGAATTTGCTAGTTCTGGAAAAAAGTTATGAGCAAAAAATTGATATAAATATTTTTTGAGGGAAGAGCAAATGTATTAATTGCTCACACTAATTCATTAAACTAATAGTCTTTACTAATTAATAGTTATTAATTAAATAAAACGTAAATAAAAATAACAGCCTTAGCTATTTTTCTAAAAATTTTTTAAAACAAAATCACTTGGACATTTGTAAAACGCAAACAACAGTGAAGACACATTAAAGAACAATTGCAATTTGCAGTAAAACAAATCAAAAAAGGCAAAATATCACTCAGTAAAGCTTCAGAGGCATACTACCTGATTAAGGTAATTCTTCACAAGCGTTCACAACAAGTTTGCAAAACAAAGTCCAATCACATGCTAGGGTTACAAATACCGTGACAAAAGACAGCATTTGAATTTGTTCTTGTTTTAGTACTTATCAGTTTAGCCAGTTAGAGATTTGGCAGAGCATTCGCAGATGTTATTGCTAAAGTTTGATGGATATTTAGTATCTACAAATCAAAATCATATGTTTCCACATAGCGGTATACCAGAATGAGAATAGTATCAAGGTTTCACAAAATGACCTAGCCGGCATTTAATGAATGTTCAAAAGATGTCTTTTTAAATTTAAATGCTGGCTGGGAATGGGGTCATAGATAAGGCATCAAAGTTCAGCAATCAAGGTAAACAGCATATAATTTGCAGGCTTGGTGCTAAACTGCATTTAAAATTGGTTGGTAACAACAACAAAATTAATTACACAGTCGGAAATTATGTCAATGCTACTGGTACTATTCTGCCTACATTTGTAGTTTACAAATCAATATCAATTCTGTACATAAACTGTTATGTAGGAGGACCACCAAACACCGTTTTTACAACATCCAAGCTGGGTTGGATGGAAGAGAAACAATTTATTCTATGGCTCACTAAAGTATTTATGCGGGCAATCAAATTAATTCCAAGTAATTAGTTTGGTCTACATAAATTGAGTAGTTTAATCAAAAACCATTTTAGTCTTGGATAAAAACATCAACCATGTTACTTATGATGTTGAAAATATTTGCCTTGACAATAGATCAGGCTGATATGTTTACCGGCTCGTTCATCCCACATAGTTCAATCATTATACGCAGGTATATATTGTCATATTAAACAAGTTTGGCACCAACTACTACAGTATTTTATGCAGCTACAAATTTCAACAACTTTACAAAAGAAAATTTTATTCAAGTACAAGCAAAACCTTTTAGACTGTTTTTGCTTAGGAACTACTAATTTAATGTATTTTTGATTATACAATGGCTTATATAAATATCGTATTGTTATATATATATATATATATATATATATATATATATATATATATATATATATATATATATATATATATATATATATATACATATATATATATATATATATATATATATATATATATATATATATATATATATATATATATATATATATATATATATATATATATATATATATATATATATATATATATATATATATATATATATATATATATATATATATATATATATATATATATATATATGTATATATATATATATATATATTTATCAACCCTCGGAATTAGGAAAATTGAGGTCGGCAAAAATTTGTTGGGATCAGATCGACAAATACAAGGGTCATTCCATAAATCATCGAAACGACGTCGGCAAAACCGAATTTCTTTTGCCGACCTTAAACACGTTTAGGTCGGCAGTTAGGTAATATATATTTCTTTATGGGTTTATAAATTCATTTTAATTTAGATTACTGATGATGAAGAATCTTTCTGCTGTGGAACTACTAATGTAATTTATTTTTTATTGTTTTATTAATGTAATTTATTTTTTATTATTGTTTAATTGAGTACACATTTAAAAATATCGTGTAAGATAGTTAGACCTACAAAAATTTCAACCTGCGAAGTTGTTCTACAAAAAGAAAATCTACTAAAAGGTGGAACTAATTTTTAGATGACCTGTTAAGGCCTAAATTGTTTTCAACCGATTATAGTCTTTTTTATGTTCAACCGATTTATGTGTTTTTATTTTCGAACGATTTATTTTTTAACCTATTTTATAGACTTTCATTTTTAACTGATTATATTTTATTCGATTATCTGGTCTGTGTTTTTAAGGTTGTTGTTTTTATCCTGCAATATTTTTTTAATTTTAATTAACAACCAATAAGTTTCCTAAACATTCATCGAACCTTATACCTCCCGATTCTGAAGAAATTGCTTCAATCACTGTGCCAAGGCTAATCAAATTTGGCTTTTATTTAAATCAACAACAAAATATACAAAATACATGCCGAAAAAGCGTAGTTATAAAACTGAAAATACAGTGGATTGTATATTCATTAGGTTCAAAATTTTTAATGATTTAGTAGGTTGGAAAATTAGTAGTACATGTTTTAATTAGGTCTAAACATAAAAATCAAATTTTATTGGTTGAAAATCGAAAACATTATAATCTACAGTTTACAAAATTTCAAAATTAGGTTGAATTATAGGCCTCCAAAAATAGTATGATGTGGTTTATCAAAGTTCCATTACTCTTAATAAATTAGATTATACTAGATATATGTGTCTATTTTATGCTTAAAGCTAGTCTGCCTTTGCAGCATTCCCATTTTTAATTTTCATTTAATTGTTTGGCAAAATCTATTAATTCAATATATTTTTGTTTAAAAAATGTTGTTTTTTTTTAAATTATAAAAAAAAAAAAAATTATTACTTCATTAACATTTTAACTTTTATTGTTCTTTTTTCATCTTTGTGCAGTGGTTTTTTTAGTATTAGAGAAATTTTTAATAATATTTTGAACTATTTTTGCTGTTTTAATAACTATTTTCATTCTTACTAATAAGAATAGTTATTAAAATGAATAAATTTTTAAAACAAACTTTAAAAAGTTTAAAGCTTTTTAATTACTTTAATTACTTAATGTTTGTTTCTTCACGCAAATTAATAGCATAAAATTCATTACTCCATAGATGATTTTTTTCAATAGAGCTTAAAATTTGTTTCTGTATGAAATACTGTTATCATATTTAGGCTGGTCCCTCTAATGATGCTCCTTCTCTTCTAGACAAGGTGAAAAAAGGCATTGTAAACGTAGTTGGAACTGGTCTATCTGCTAAGTTTGAGCCTCTTTCCCATCATTGTAAAGTTGCATCTCTTTCTCTTTTCTATAAATACTATCATGGTTGCTGCTCAAAGGTGCTATCATTTCTAGTTCTATCAACTAAAACTCATTCTCGCTTAACTCGTCGTTCAGCAAAGTCTCGTTTTTTTACTGTATCTGTTCCTGCATGCTCTAGAAACTTATCTAATTTTTTCTTCTGAATTTCAACCCTTTTCAACTTTCTCCCATCTTCATGTTTTCTTGATTCATACAACCTTCAACTTTTTGAGTCTTCTGTCAACCATTCCCTTGTTCTATAACTATAACATTTTTTTCTAGTAACTCCCAACTTAATATTGGTTCCTTGCAGCCTTGTTGGAAAAATATCAGAATTAAAAAATAAAAAGTAACTTGTTTTTCCGAGCTGCTCCTAATTGTCAAAGTTTGCGTTTAAGAGTAAAAGAGTTGAGAGAGCATTGTAGCTTCAATAAAGTAGCCTCCTCAACTGTAGTGGCCCTCTTGGTTTTGGAGAGGTGAATGACATAAAAAGTGGTTAAAAACTGTTTTAAATTAAGTTATAATAATTTAGTCATTTTAAGCTCACACTTAAGCCTATCAACTAGACAAAAAATAATAGATAATAAAGTACTCTGCTTTTTGCATAAATGTTTATCTTTTCAAATATAAATTGTATAACTGTATGTTTATTAAGTATGTTGATTTATAGGTATGTTTAATACACTAAATCTATACGTGTTAAGTTAAAATAAAACACTTTCATTGTTTGATGATAGCAAACAATTGTGAATTTCTTATAAATTATACCTACTTCCAATAATACCGATTCAATACATACTCTGTGACCTACAAATAATAAGAAAGTTTTAACAAGATTTGTAAAGATAATGGTTTATGATTGCTGACCACAACTTGTAAGGGTTTTCTGTCCAATTTAAGCTAACAGTTTCATGAAAAACTAATATCATTTGCAATGGAACTTTTCTTTTCCTTTTCTTCATATTCGGCATATCTTTATTATAAATCGGTTTTAATCATTTTTATTTAAATTTCTTTTTCTTAATATATGGAGCTTTAATATATGGAGCTTTCTTATTTTAATATATGGAGCTGAGCTATCACCAGTGCTACTAATCATCCGTAATGGTTCATTAGTGTCGAACAACCTTTCGCTAAAAAGGTTAAACTGTTCGCTGACTTAATTTTTATCAGTCTTTATATTTTTTTTGTTCAATATTTTTTGACATTCTTATCATAAAAGTTAAACCATGCTTTAAGTTCAGTTTGTTGTGAATAATTCATTTTTGACAAGTGTGGAGTTTTTTGTGGTATATCTATCTATAACAACTTTTAACATTTACTTCAGAAATGCAAGATACTTGAACTTTTTATTTATGTAATCTTTTTGAATGGTTTAAAAAGTATAACACTTTTATGAACTGTAAACAATATTTAATTATAGTTAAAACATTTTGATGCAACACTCCTCAAATGATGCTTGCTGTAAAATAAAAATATATGACATAAACGTGAAAAAAGAAACGCCCACAGCGTAGTTGTTATATGCATGTCAATGAAGTAAGTTAGAACCATCAAAATAACTAATGGTTACCAAATATTTGGCAGGCAAATATTCGGTGATTCGACCAAATACTTGGTAGTCTATATTTTGGTATTTTATATTTTAGCAAAATATTTGGTATTTGGCGAAATCACTATTTGTGACATCTCTAATAAAAGCATTCCATCTAAAATAATCATCCGATAATCATCATTATACAAAACCACCATTCAATAATTCGCATCATAACATTAGATTAAAGTCCAATTCAAAAAGAGTTAGTTATTAAAACATGCTTAACTTTCAATTTTAGTTTTGTTTTTTTTTTAATTTTTGTTCGCCTTAAAGTCATAGTAAATTAAGAAAACCAGTAGCTAGTTTTAATATTAAAATTACATATTAGCTTTTTATTTAAATAATAAGTTATATATAAAAAAATTAGTAAATTTTAAAATTTTTAACATTTGTTGTTTTTGTTAAAAAAAATATACATTAAACAAATATAACTTATATATTTTAGATTGGTGAAAATGAGAACGATTCATCAAGTGAGGAGGATTTTATATCAAGCGAAGATTCTGATGTATTCTTTTTATTTTTTTTTCATTTTTAATTTTTGTATGTTTTTTCATCAAGTTCAAAAACATAAATACAGAACTTCATTTTTACTTTTTTTACTTACATTTTTTGTAATTTTTTGATATTTACTGGGACATGGTAAAATTAAAGAAAGTTATGAATATAATGAATCATCATATTTGAGATAAGGGTAAAGGTTGAAAATTTTTTCAATAAAACTATTCATTCACTAACTAAAATTTTGATTTTTTTGACCTTTAGATACCATATTTATTTCACTTTTCTATAAACTAATTGTGCAAAGAAAGTTGTGTAAGCCATACTTATTAGAGGCTGTGATAGATCCAGGGGGTATTGAGAGTTATGCATACCAGAATCTGAATGTCCTAAAAATATCATAAAAACTGAGGATCTTGTTTTTTTTAGGAGATAAAAATATGGTACAATGTACAAAAACATTTCAACATTCCCCCTTCCCCACCAAAAGTGTTTGGATCCATCACTAATTAGAAAAAGAGGATTTTTAGAGTAATAAAACATGAATTGCTTAAAAAGTTATTTAAGAATCAAAATTCTACGCCTCTAAAAGTGTAAAAAAAAAAAAAAGAAACAGTTTTATTAAATAAATGAAGATTAATGAATTTTTTTTTAATTTTATTCTAATTCACACCTAACAAGGCTGCAAGCAACCACTGTTAAGTTTAGTGTTTCTAGAAAACAAATAATAGAGTTAAAGAACAAAAAAATAGGTAATAGTAGACTCAAAATTCGAATTAGAAAAAAAGTTAATAACATAGTTTTGCCTTATCCTTGGGAGAGGTAATAAGATCAGTCCCATGAGAGATAGAATGTTAAACGTAACTTTGTTAATAACGCTGTTAAAGATTTTCCAAAAGTCTCTGAAGCCTACTTCGAAATTTGAGATGCAAGATTTAGTAAACTGGGGTTAATAGAGCTTACCATCAGATAGCCCCATTTTACATTGTTTTCTTGAAATAATGAAAGGCATTTGTTCTCAAGAAAGTTGTTCTTTTGAAAGAGATCAACAAAATGGTTATGATTAGATATAGCAGCACAAGAGAATGATAATTGTGGATTAAAATGAGACTTGAATTGGAACTAGCAAGAAGTAATGATAACCTGAATCGAGCCATTCAGTGTGATGAGCATGAAAATCACTAATAACAACAATATTGACAGATTGGTAAAAACACAGTCTATATGAACAGAAACTATTTCTACTTTTCTATCTATTTAAAAAAGTTAAGTCTTAAGAAGAAGGAAAACAATAAAGAACAATGAAAAAGGTGATAGAGTGAAGAGATGCTAAGCGGGAACACATAAAAGAATGGTTGAAGGATTAAAATCTTATTACTTGACAAATTGGTGAATGGATGCTTAAGGAAACATCGGTGCCAAGCCTATGATAATTAGAGTCTTTGCAAATCAAAAGATTATACCCATCAATACTGAAATCTGAAGAAGGAACAACTAAATCTAAATTATTTTTAAAAATTATTGTGATCTTTGCAAGACGTGAGATTTAACTGATGGAAAGTTACTTCGCAGACCACAACTATTTGGGAAAGATGCATTTAAACAGTTAGGTGGTTGAGATGTTTTTTTATGTTTATTATTTTTAATTAATTTGTGCATGATTTAAGTTATAACAGAACTTTGTTTATATTATAGATTGAGCGTGACATTTTTTATTGATACACCATCTCTAGCATTTTTCTTAATTACGAGCTCTAAGACAGGGCAGTTTTACCTGGATGCAGTTAACACCTGCTTAAGATGAGTGTTTTTATCAAGAAACCATCTCAAATCTTTACCTGGAGTGCAAGAGAAGTCGAATTTCAAATCTAATTTTATTTCTCCTGGACTTTGCTTAAAAAAGCCAACTCTACAAAAAAGCAAACCCTACAAAGGAGTAGGGCATGGCGAAGGTAGTACTGCATTACATGATAAAAGTAGCATGGTGATAGTGATGATTCTGAACCTGGCCTGACCTAAAGTAGTTAAAAGAAGTTGTAAGCAGTACTTCAAAACATTGATTGCAATATTTTGGAAAATCATTAGGAAAAACATTACATCTAACAGAATACTAAAGATTAAGGTGAGCTTAAATTTTATAGTTAAAGTCACTAGTTGATAACTGAACTCGTTCTGGATCAGAGATTTAAGCACATCATTAGCAAGCATAAGATATAAACGCAAACATAGGCACAGATTTAAAAGCATAGAAGCAGATTTAAAACAAGAGATTTAAGCACAGATTTAAAAGCATAAGATATAAACGCAAACATAAATATATTAACTTATAGATGAGCAAACACTGTGCTAGAATTTCACAAAGAACATTAAGATACATATAGTGAATTACAGGTTAAACATACATATAGTTAGTAACACCTAGAGGTTAACACAAAACACAAACATGACAACTAAAAAAAAAAAATTTGTAATCAATTAGGTTATAAAGATATAGGGTCATGCATAAAAATAATATTTGATCCTGAAGATGAAGATGTTTGAAAGAAAAAAAAACGTATAAAGTTAAGAAATAAAAAGTAAAAGTTCGAATTTTCAAAAAACTCTACTACAAAGCTAAAGCAAAAAAAGTTCAAAACTACTAGAGAAAACCTAAATTTTCAATTTAAATCTAAAACTTTAATTGGTAGAAGTAGCTTATATCAATTGCATATACCTGAAGGTAATCTTTTAGTATTTACTGAATAGTGAAGTTTCAGTAAAAAGAGACATCATTTGAACTCATGCTTCAAAAACTAATTTAACTTTATTAAAAATAATTTGTAACAATAAAATATAAAAGTTTTATTTGAGTCTTTATTGATGATATAATGTGTCATAAATTAAGACTCAGAGTTGATAAAAATTTAATGAAAATAAAGAACACTCAGATTTATTAAATTAATAAAACTTTAATTTATACAAAAACTAAATTACAGGAAATCGTAAATGTCTTAACTAATATAAATTTTCCCACATTTGCGGAATAATGCTTTTATAAAAATAGCTCTGGGAGAATTTAATTAAAACTATTAATTTGAGATTACTTCTTTTTATAGTTTTTAAAAAAAAACTTATTTTCATGCCTGCATTTAGAAATCAATTCCGAAGTTTTGTTTAAAAACATCCTTGGTTCGCATCTGTAACTATTTCAAGTTTTTTTTTGTAGACATAGAATTCATTTTTAATAAACTATTATTACATCCTAATGCTATTTTAATGGGTGGGCCAATTTGGTTTAAAATCATCAGTATTTTCATCTTTTAATTCCCATGTGCATTTTGACAGCATGGTGTCTTTTAATTATTTTTTATTTTTAAAGGATTGTATATGATTGGCAAAATGTTTTTTCCATTTACCCTCTGTTAAGCCAATAAATTGTTTACCAGAAACATTTTTAGAGGAAACAACACATTTATAATAGAGTTTTTTATCAACATTTTCCACTCATTGCGCAATTGTTTTTTGTTTACATTTACAGTTTTTTGTTCTTTTTTCTTTTAGGATTTCTTTTTCGTTTAACAAAGTATTAATGTGACCTTTTATAGTTCTTTCCATATTTTCTGAGCAACTTTAATAGTATTTCAATAAAAAATTTTGAAAAAGCAGGAAATGCTTATCGACCAATTTTATAAACATTTTTCCTTTGTTAGTGGTAACATTTTTGCTATATGGGGAGTTGAACTACATTACATTTTTTATGCAGTTCTAGTAAACCATTATCACTGTAACGGCCTAAATCATTAAATTTGATTATTTTACGTGATAATTCTAAAATATATAGTTGAACAAAATTTACAAATTTCTGCTCCATCATAACTACCTATTTTAGAAGACGAAAGGTAGATGAATTATCAAGTAAATTACTGTTCATAAATATAGGAAGACCTAGATTGTTGTGATAACAATTAACTAAAAAAAACTTAGTTTTATTTGAATGGGTGAAATCTTATAAATGTAATGGCCAGACCAAGCATGAGGTCTTTTAAAATTAAAGGAAGAAAACCATTAACACAAAGATCACATGATAAGTCAGCTGAAATTATAATTTTTGTAAAGAATTTTAGTTTCCTCTGTTTTGGTTTTCAAATGTTTAATATATAATTTTTTCCAAATTTTAGAGGATTAAGGTTATATAATTCATTAAAAAGTTTTAGAAAATGATTCATAAACTAAATTAGCATCAGAAGAAGCTTTTACTTGTTTCCAATGAAGCAGAGATAATTGTTCTTTGAATGCTTTTAAATTTGCTGTAGTAAAAAAACGTTTTTTAAATGTTACTTTTTGTGGAGATATTTTGACTGCAGCAATATTATTTGAGAAAAAAATAGGAAAGCAATTTATTAAAAATATTGGTTGTTATTATATTGTCTAATGAGGTAGCTGAAGTTGCATTTATTCTTGTTGGTTTATTAATTATAGAAAATGTGCCAATATTCAAATACATCATTAAAAAAAAAAAAATTTTATAATTGCTATGGTATTAAAAAAACGTCCAAATTAATATCACCTATTAAGTAGTATAATTTCTTTTCATAAATGCTTTTACTTAAAATATCATTTAAAAATATATTAAAGTTTTCAATTTGACCAGAGGGTGGTGGATAGCAGCAACATTTTTTTTTAAGGTTTCAATTTCAACTGTTAACTGTTGTCAGAATTACTCAGGCCTGATAATATACCTCAAGCATTCTTTTATTTAGATTATTAAACCGCCGCCTCGCTTTTGTTTTGACGTTTTAAAGAAATTTTTTTAAAACCTGGTAAATAGGTGATTGCATTAGAATTTGCGTTATCTGAGCTGCACCAAGTTTCTGACATACAAATTAAACTAAAAGTACTAAGAGATTCTTTTATGCAAAAATTTTTAAAATTTTTTGATAATTTTATTTATTAATTATTATATTAATATGTAAAGTGTTACAATAATTAGAATGAAGAGGTTCTTTTATTTCATTGGAATAGTAATAAGGGCAGCTGCTTCGAATGGCTGTTGATTCCATAAAGTAACTTAAATCTAGAGCCGATTCATAGTTTAGTAAAAAAGCTTCAGTTTGAAAAAAATTGAAGGATTTTAAATCAAAATTGTTATTGTTATTCGAAGCCATTTTATTAAATAAAATGAATTCTTTTAGAAATCACGCGTTATTAGTTTGTTTTAAATAAATTTAGCATTCTTACCTTTTTGTCTTAGTTCTTTATTGTCTGTAAACAACTTTTTCCGTAGCGTGCTTGTTCTTTCACAAAAATTTTCGTCTATAAAAAAGCGTTGATTCCAGAGATTCAATTGAATATATTTATCAAGAATAGATGTTTTGTCTTCAAAAATTTAAAAATTACACTATGACGATTCTGTTTTTTTTTTAATTTCAACTTCGTCAGTTTTTCCCACTTAATGCGCCTGTTTAATGAAAAAAATACCATTTAGTTCGAGTTTTGTTTTTATAATTTGTTTAACTTTCTTTTCACAATCTTCCCAACTTTTGTTTTCAGAATCTTTAATTCCATTTATTCTTAAATTATTACGTCTACTTCTATCTTCGAGCTCTGCCAATTTATCTTTCATGATTTCTGTTACAATTATTTCTAAGTTGCTCAAAATATTGTATTCAGGTTTTGATTCAAGTTCAACTACTACTTTATTGTGTTTATTGCTTATAAAATCTTCACTTTTTTTTAATTCACTAGTTTCTGGTTTAAGAGCCTTATTTTCATCATTTAATAAACTCACTTTGTTTTACAAGTTTTTTATTTTTTCATTAAAAATTTTAATAATTGTACTGTCGTGCATTTATAAATTTTCTTTCAATTGAGTTATAGTAAAAATTTTTATATTTTAAAATATATATACTGCATAATGTTTTTTGTATAATAATGTACAAAAAATCTCTTGTTCGTTTAAAAGTGATCAATTTTTTAAAAACAAAATTTTATATAAAAGATCTGATAAAAGTATTTAGTATTAAATGAAAAAAATACAACTTTTTATTGGTACACAAACCAACAAAACAGTCTTGATCTAGCATTATTTATATGAAATGTTAATACTGATTACAAAACATTTTTGTTGTAAAAATGTTTTCGTATTTTTTATTTTATAAGATGATATAAGATTCCAGTACTATATATTAATAATTTACTTATAAAAATTTTAATTTTACAAATTATTGATTACAAATACACTTAAAAAAAAACATTTTTATGGCGCCTACTAATTTTTTATATACAGCAGTTGGTGCATACATCAAATGAGGGTTTTGGTTAAAGTAGGTTATATTTTAAATAGGAAATATAATGATTTATTTTATATTAAAAATGTTATTGTTATTGGTATTTTTTTTCTGAGTTGTTGTTAAATTTATATTGGTTGATATTATTTGCTATGCAAAAACCAAAAAGGTTTTTTTCCTGCAAAACTAAGAAATATATTAGTCTTCTTATTAAAGTTAAAATTGGATTAGACTTATCACATTTAAAAGAGCGGTATAGTTATATATCTGTTTGCGTGTGTATATAATTAATATTTTTTTTAATATACATATATAATCAAATTACAAATTTAAATGAATATATAAAAAAAAAGTTTACATAAAAACTAATCAATAGCTTAAATATATTATCATATTTTTAGTATGATAAACTATGCACTTCAGCAGAAGAAAATTTGAATATTGATGGCATTATTTATAAAAAACCAATGTATGTAGCTGACTGGCTTGAAATGTGTAACCTTTCTCATCAATTTGGTTCTGGAATTTTTCTTATTGACGGTGATAGTTTGCTTTTATCAGCAATTTGTGATGGTAACTTGAGTAAAACTCATGGTGGGCAGACACTTCATTGTGTTTATCTTGTGGAACGGCAGCTGCAAATATTTGTCAGACGCAGAGGAAAATTTCATATTGTTTTTTTTAAAGATTCTCTTTTTGTTAATGAACCACAAAATCAACTATTAAGAGAAATTTTGATTTTTCATCTTAAAGAAGAATTAAATTTGACTATTTTAGATCAGTTTCAAAATGCTTGGGACCCTTCTTTTGAAACATGGGTTCAGAATATTATTCCCATCTTTTTTCTGATGTTTGATGTTTTTAAAAATTGTCAGTATCTAACTTTATTTATGCAAATGGAAAAAATTTTAAGCCTTCAAATAAATGTAGCGTTCATTAACGATATTGTTGTTGGAATGTCATCCTTGAAAGGATATCATATTTTTGCAGAAATATTGAAAAAAAATAAAGCAAGAGAAGTCATGGTAAAAAACATATATCATGCTTTTTATGAGAAACAACTTAAGTTGCAGGATATGTTACAGGTTGATGTTCTAGAGTTTAATGATATTCAATCAGAATTCGTTGCAGCATATTTGTTTATTGAGCTACATATATTATCTCAGAAGTATGTAGACTTTGCAAAACTAGTTGTACTTTATGTTTTGGTTAAAAAAAATTTACCTTTGCAGAAGAGAGCATTACCTAGAATCAAACATAATGTTGACTTTGAGTCTTTGATAACAGAATTCCAGCAAATACTGAGTAAAGTTGTTCATCTTCGAAGAGAGGTTGGTGTGATGAAAAAAAAATGATGTTGTTTGTGATATATGGGACGGTAACCTCTTTGCTACATTTTGTAATATATACTGTAAACAGTTAAACAAAGGTAAAGTTTTATTTGATAGTGATATTTTCATCAAATATAAAAATATTATTGATAATTTTGATGAGAAGTATGGTGGCAGATTGAAGTCAACACTTCCTTGTGATTTTGGATTTAAAGATTCATGTGAGAGAAATGACCAATCATTTTCTGCTTCTGATAATAATCTTCTATCTCTTCTACTCTCTCTTGAAATAATTTCAACTCCAGTTTTAGGAAGTTTTTTAATTCAAATTGTTCCTGTGCAAAGTAATCTTGTTACATTATATGCAGGTAACATCTATAATCGAATGGAGGTTTTAGATAAAGATGATCCATACTTAGCTGAATTGCTTCCAAATTTTGAAGAGTTTGAAGATATATATCATTGGCATTGCAAAATTTTGATTGGTGAATATGAAATATTTTCAGTGCAAGAAAAAAAGAAAATGGAGTTAAAGAAAAAAAAAAATTCAACAGAAGTAAAACGAGTAACTAAACAAAGCAAGTTAAGAATGAAAATGCGTGAACAACAAAAAGAACAGCAAATGCGCTGTAAATATTTTAAGTACCTTCAAATGTATGGAGAAAGCTTAGGAATTAATGAGCCAACATTAATTGTCCTAGAAAACAAAAACAAAAATAGTAAGATAAAACAACTGGATAGAAGTTCTAATACAAAGGAGGTAAGAGGAAAGGCACAGCTAATTATTGAACAGAACAAGTTGAAAAAACTTGAAGAACGAAAAAAAAGGGATAGTGATCAGTGGAAAAAAGTAACAGATCATATTCGAGGCTTAGATTATTCTGGGGCTCTAAAACATATTCAAGAAAATGAAAAATGTTTTTGTACTGATCAGTTTAAAATCAAACTTGAAGTCAAAAAGCTGTCAATATTTAAAAAATTGTTGTATAATAAAGATTCAAACCATTTAAATCATCTAGATTCAAATCATATAAATCACACTATTAATCTTTTTTTAGTCATTTCAAAACTTTTCAGCAAATATTGGAATATACTTTCATTGAGTGAAAAAAGAGCAGTTGCAAAAGCTTTACATGAAGCTGGATTTTTTAATCTCTTAAAATTGCTCAATTTAGAGTCTCCAGAGAAACCTTCTAAAGCAGAGTCACAATGTCATATTGAATTTCAGTTAAAGTATTTGGGTCACTTTTTGTCAAGAACAGAACGCAATGATCCTGATCCTAGAATTTCTAATTTTATTCCTGATACCTGGCAGAGAAAATTATTTGATGCTGTTGATAATAATAAATCTGCTTTAATAATTGCTCCAACTAGTTCAGGTAAAACATATGCATCATATTACTGCATGGAAAGAATATTGAGAAGTAGTAATGATGATGTTGTAGTTTACGTTTCTCCAACAAAAGCGCTTGTCAATCAAGTACATGCCTATGTAAAAAGTAAATTTACAAAAAATGATTTGCCTGCTGGAAAGACAATTTGTGGTGTATTCACAAGAGATTATAGACATGATGTGGAAAATTGTCAAATACTCGTTACTGTACCACAATGTCTTGAAATTCTTCTACTATCCATCCAAACCTATGCATGGTCTCAAAAGATAAAATATGTTATCTTTGATGAGATTCACTGTATTGGTGCTGATGCTGATGCTGAGACATGGGAACATTTATTATGTATTATCTCATGCCCGTTTCTTGCACTTTCAGCAACAGTTGCAAACCCTGAAGTTCTTCATAGTTGGCTTCAAGATATTCAAAACTTTCAAAAAGAAAATAAAACTATGCTTGGCAGTAAAAGAGATGAATTGTCATACCAAGTTGAATTAGTTATTGTGAAAAATAGATATTCTGACTTAGAAAACTATGTTTTTATTTCAGAAAGCTCAAAGTATTATCAGGAGATAGGGAAACTGCAGAGTATTCATCCAGTTTGTACACTAAAATTATCAGCTGTCATTGCAGATGGAATCCCAGAACATATCAGTTTATCGCCAAGAGAATGTTTAAAACTTTATGATGCAATGAAAAAAATCAAACCTGAATTGGAAAATTTATCTCCAACTCATTTTTTTGTCAATAAAAAGTTTCTAACTAGGGATGAAGTTAGGTTATATGAAAGTGAGTTGAAAAAAGAGTATTTTAGCTGGATTGCAAAAAGAGAACATTTTGAAAGTGTTCAGCAAATGTTACTTGAGTCAGAAACTAAATCAAAATCAGCAGAAATATATAAAAAAACTTTAAATTTAGACATGGATATATATTTAATAATAACATTTATGAGTTTGATCAAAACATTGGAAAAAAATTCAATGTTCCCTGTTATTGTGTTTTGCTTGGATCGACTTTTGTGTCAAGATTTAGTAGAAGCCGTTATTGCATATTGTGAACGCAAAGAAAAAACTGATATTAGAAAAAAAAATGACAAAAACTTAACTTCTTATGAGAAGTCTGTATTGAAAAAGAGTAAAGATAAAGCTAGTGAAAAAGACGCTTCAAAAAAAAAAGAAATCTTTAATTATAAACATGATAATGATTTTGTTGTTTTTGCTCCATTTGCTGGTAATTTTTTGTTTTTTAATTCTTATTTTTCTTTATAAATTTTTTAAAATTTTTACTCTAAGCTTCTCTGTTTTGAATCTTACTTTTGTTTTTGTTATATTATCTATTTATTTAGTTTAATATCTAAATATAAATCTTTATTTAGTAAATATGAAATAATTTTTGAAATATTTAAATGTTTAATCTGAATTTGTTTTTTTAACATTTTTTTATTATATTTATTAAATAAAATTTAATTTTTTTTTTTTTTTTTTTTTTAATTATAAAATTTTTACTGTAAGATAAAAAGGAAGTCATCAATTATTGGCTCGATCATGATTTTGTTAAAGGCGCTTCATTTGCTGGTAATCTTTTACTTGTTAATTTTACTTTTTTATTTTAGATTTTATTCTTTTATAAAACTTGCATGCTATACCAAGGCTGTTTCAAAGAGCATTTTTGTAACTTGCGGTCAGCTTGAAAATCAAATTGAACTGAAGTTTTGCGCATATTTTCGTTTAACCTAAGATTTTTTATCTTTTATATCTTAAAATATATTTCTTCAATAGTCTTCATTATTTTTTTAATGTGCAGTTAAATAACCAAACAATATTAAGAAATAAATAAATTTTTTTTCAAGTGAAATAACTTTCATTATTTTAATAATCAAAACCAATGATTTACTAGTAAAATAACACTTTTCATAAAAAAGCTAGAAAATGAGCTATATACAAAAGCATTTCGCGTGATAACTACAAAAGCTTTTGACAAAATTTTTTATGCATCGTGTTTTAAAGGCTTTGCAATATATTTGTTGAAATCCACAACTTAAACCATTTAGAACATCGCACAATATTTTTAAAAATCCTATAACATTTCCCTATAACTTTTCAATAATGTAACGCGCCGAGTAGAGAATTTAAATACAAATTTATCAACAAGTTGTCTTGTATTATATAAAAAAAATTATATGTTTAGTTGCTCGCGCTTATAAGCAAAATTAGATTTTGTAAGTTTCATTTTCAAGAAATTCCTAAAGCTTTATTTGTAATTTTACAACTCCAAACTTTATTTTAACAGAAAACTTGTTTATTCAAACACTCTATTAATCCATAAAGAATAAAGAAGGCAAATTGTAAATGCTTAGGCCTAATTGTTCGTACTTAATATATAACTAAAAGAAAACAAAACAAACAATTAACAAAAACAATTTGCCTGTAAAAAAATAAAATTTTGTATTGAAAATTTTTTTTATCATTAAATTGTATTAAACCAACAGTTAGTGAGAAAAATGTTTCTAATTTTTTATTTGAGTATTTGCTATTTGTTTTTACCAACTCAGTTATGTAGCGGGGAGCCAAAAAGGAAATTGTCCCCGGGTGCGACGGCTTAAAGGGATGCCATAAAAAAAGAAAAGCCAAAAAAATAGGTTATTTTACTATAAAAAGCCTTGTTTTTTAATTTTGTTGTAAAAAAGACACTTTTTTACATTTTTGCTCTGGGTGGAAAATTCTCGCTACGCCCTTGTAATAAGTTTAAAATTTCCTTATTACGTAAATTGTTTCAGTGGCGCGCCACTGTAAGTTACCGTGACCTGCTAGTTTGATTTTACTTTTTCGAAAGTAATAGTTGTAATTCGAGTAAAACTTTTTTTTAATTACTCAATATAAAATTTTTTTGTTTCTCTAAAGTATTGTTTATATAATACTTTTTACAGAATAAAAAAAAGTTGTATTATAAGTTGCATATTTCGAGAGATTGAGAGTAATACTTAAGAAAATATTCTGTTCAAAATTAAAAAAAACAAAACTTTTTGAACATTTTTTTTCTAAAGTAAAAAAGGGATGATTCGAGTGAAAACTTTTTAAATTACTTAATATAATACTTTTCTATTGTTCTTATGTGTTATATAAATAATACTTTTTACAGAATAAAAAAAAGTTGTATATTTCTTATAATAATTAATTATTTTCAATTTGCAGTAAAAATTCTTTCATATACTGAGTATAAGTGACAGTGTAACAGCCGTGGTATATTATTCTACAATATAAATCTTGCTTATTTTTATTATAACTATTTATTAAGTATAACTTTCAGCTTTTAATAATTTTTTGTATCCAATATTTAAATGTTTAAAATGTGGGTAAAATATTAAAATGTTGAGCCTAAATTAGATTTTTAAATATTTTCTAATTATACTCATTAAACATTTTTTTTCTTCTATTTTTTAAATATAAAATTTTTATGTTAGTTACAACTAAAAATTAAAAAGAGTTATATCAATAGTTTTTACAACAAAAAGATAAAAACAGTAAAGCAGCAGTATATATATATATATATATATATATATATATATATATATATATATATATATATATATATATATATATATATATATATATATATATATATATATATATATATATATATATATTTAGATATATATATATTTAGATATATATATATTTAGATATATTTATTTTAGGTAAAGGAATATTTATGAAAAAAGATTTAACTTACTTGTATAACAGAGTAGTTAAGGCTGCTCCAGTGGAGTTTATGAAAGGAATACGCTATGGGGTTGCTATGCACCATGCTGGCATGAGTAATAAACAACGAACAACTGTTGAAATATTATTTAGAAAGAAATTTTTAAACATTGTTGTTGCTACTTCAACACTTGCACTTGGTATTCACGTACCATGTAAAACAGTTGTAATTGCTGGAGATAGTGTTTATTTGAATCCATTGATGTTTCGACAAATGTCTGGTCGTGCTGGTCGTAGAGGTTTTGATATGGTAGGAAATGTTGTGTTTCATGGATTTTCTGAAGCAAAAGTATCAAATTTATTTGCTGGAAATTTACCTGAACTCTTAGGAAATTTTCCTATGACTGTGTCGTTATGTTTACGTCTGTTCATATGTTTTAATGGTCAAATTGACAAAAAAGCTAATGAAAATACTCTAGTAAG